CTACATCATGAAACACTGTGAGCTGGCTATCAGAAGCAAGGCCCTTTTACAAAGGAATCTCATTTATTCTCTTTATAAATACCAGAAATTTTTCCAACAGTTCTTAAATTTGGTTTATGGCAACTGTTACTGTTGCTGTGTCTCTGATCTAACTGTATGCATATTCTGAAGTTGCCTAATGCTGGGCTTAAAATCTGTGCTGAACCTACAATAGTAAAACAAATGAAAAGAAGACTTTTAAAATCCCAAAGTGATCAGCTAGCAATTCTAAGATAAAGCCACTGTGGGAAAATTTCAACTAATGTTATGGTATAGTTATCTCTGATGAATTTAGGATGATGATGTACAAACATAAGTAGGGAGTGAGCAGAGTAAAATAAAAGGAGAACATGAACACAAAAAAGTTTATCCAACATCTGATTTTTTTAAAGATCTGTTTTAGGTGATATCTGCCTTATCATAGATTTGCAGTAGTGGTGCATTATATCAGGGACTGGAGAACACATGTGGCCCTCCAAATCAGTAGTTCTCAAACTTTTGTACCCTGGGTGTTTTGGACTTCAGCTCCCCAAAGCTTTTGTCATTATGAGCAATGCTCAATGACTTTGGAAGTTAAAATCCCAAACATCTGGATGACAAAAAACCGAGATCCACTGCTGTAGATGCCGTTGGACTGGAGCGCCAATAATCCCTCATCATATGTGGCTGTAGGGAAAGGGAGTTCCAGTTCAACAACATCTGTGGACTTACATGTTTCCCATCTGCTGTTATATTGTTCTTGGATGCACAGCCTATCCAAAGTCTGTGCAGAGAGCACCATCCCTGCTTGGATGATTCCCATCAAATTTCTTGATTCTTTACTTTCTTGCTAAATCATTTCTTTATATTTCAAGGCATAGCTATATACAGACAAGATTTATAAGACCTTAGCAATCAGATTTCAGGCTAGGCTTCAAAAGGGAAATTGCTGTCATGGCTGTTGTGAATAATATGTATCTGGAGGTTGACAGGAGAAACGTGACCCTGTTGGACTCGCTGACCTCCTGGAATCTTTGATACTGTCTGGGTGGAGAGAAATGTTTGGGAAAAGGGATAGGAGACAATGGGGAGCATTCTTGTCATTCTACTTTTCACATTTTCTCTTGTCTTCATTTTTGTATTCCAACACAAAAGCTGAGGATAGCAGTCTCTTTTCTAGCCATACCTTATGAATTTAATTCTCCAGTGTAGGTAGAGTTTCTCTTCCACTGATAAGTAAATATTCTATGGAGTAGTTCCCCTTGACAAAATGCCTCTGAATATGTGTTGCCCATCTGTTATCCTTGTTTCTCCAAACAGATTCAATAGGTCAGCTGGTATCTGCTCCACATAAGTATATGCTTCTGATAAGCCTGGTTCTCTGTACACATCATCCTGGTGGATAGATTGCAAGGGCACATTCATTTTTTAAAAACAAAAGGACAATGCCTCTGAAAAGAAAGGTAGATTTCTTTATGAAATTTGAAACCCTGCATAGGCTGAACAGTGTGTACAACTATGGGTGGAAATAAGATTTGCCATTATTTGTTTCCTGACCAAAAAACGGCCAGGAAGAATAATATAGAGGGGATAATTTTGGGCAATTTTGGGCAGGGGATCACATATCCTAAAGTGTTTAGGGAAATTATTCAGAACAACAATACAATTTTAACACACAATGTATGGCCTCTTTTTCGTTAAACCCACTAGATTAGACCCATTACATCAATTGCTGAATGGTGAGTCAACATCAAAATTAATCCAATTGACAATAGTGAGTCTACTCTACTCAGGATTAACAATATGATTTAGGTCAAAATGTATATTTTGGGAGGGAAAAGTTTGGGATCTGGAATACATATAGCACATAGCTATGTTTCCTTAGCAATGTCCCCTGATGCTACTCCTCCCGTAAAGGTAAAGGTAAAGGTAAAGGTAAAGGTAAAGGTAAAGGTAAAGGTTTTCCCTTGACAAGATTGTCTAGTCATGTCTGACTGTAGGGGGCGGTGCTCATCTCCGTTACTGAGACAAAGAGCCAGTGTTGTCAAAGACAACTCTGTGATCATTAGGCCAGCTTGACTGCACAGAATGCTGTTACCTTCCCACCAAAGTGGTACCTATTTATCTACTTGCACTTTTACATGCTTTTGAAATGCTAGATTGGCAGAAGCTGAGACTAGTGAAGGGAGCTCACCCCACCATGCAGTACTTGGGTCTTGAACAACTGACCTTCTGATCCTGCAACCATCAGAGTCAGTGTCTTAACCACTGAGCCACTGCATCTGCTCCTCCCATATCCTCCTTTAAAACAATGCAAGCTTCCCAACATGCAAAAACAATGAGTTTTGCCCAAAAAGTGTTCTTGTAGGGTAGGTTATTTCTTTGCATCAAAAATCAAAAATTGAGATGAGATTGCTAAAAACCCACCAATTTGGTACAATTCAAAGATATAGCTGTGTTAGTCTGTAGAATCAGTATGTAGAAAGATCTTGTAGCACCTTTGAGACTAACTGGAGCTTTTGTAGACCAGTGTACTTCCTCAGATGCATATACTGGAGTGGAAACTAAGGACAGACATATATATGTCATTGGTATGTGAGAATGTCAATTCAAATTCAAAATCCTTTGTGTATGGAAATGAAATAGCAAGTCCAGTTTTAACGATGTACCAATTTTGGTACAGATGATGGCTGAGATCTTGCATCAGAAGCTAAAATGGGCAGTTTTGGAATGTTGTAGCTATGTCCCTGACAGCACAACACTTCTAGTAAATTCCAGTGATGCACTTCTGAGACTCCTGTGTCCCCATTGCACAATGAGTCCCGTAGCATTCTGTTGTCCATTGTGAAAGGGGCCCATGGCACAACAACCATGCAGTTTTCTCCATCTGCAATGGTCTTGAAGATGTAGCTATGTCTCTGCTGCACTCTTGAGAATACAAGTGTTGTGTGCCATTGTAATTCACATTTAAGTGATCGTCAGTCAGTTTAACAATGGCATAAATACCTAAACGATATCAATAAATGTGTATATCTATGTAGAATAATTTCCACAAACACTTTGGGGCATGTGAATAAGTACTGAAGAATACAGAAATTATTCATTCTCACATATGAGGATGAAATAATGAAAGATTTACATTCCTAGTAATTATCTGAGTCTTGCTTAACATGCATACGATTGGCCTGTTAGATATATGTAGCTTATTGCTTGGCTTAATAATCTATTTTACCTCTCCCAGTTTAAATTTCAATTTGGACTGCATCCTGATCTTATCAGAAGGTTTTTGCTGCCAACTTTGCCACCCGAATACATCCCAGGTGCATCCCCACTTCCAGGAATACTCCTTGTGGCTCTTTTTGGATCCGGGAGTTTTCTGGCTTAAGAAAATGGCTGCTAAAGTGCTCCTGGAAGCAAGGATGCACCCGGGATGTATTTAGGTGGCAAATTTGGTAGCAAAAATCTTCTGACAAGATCAGGATGCAACCCGAATTGAAATTTAAACTGGGAGAGGTAAAATGGATTATTAAGCCAAGTGATAAGAGTACTTAAAGGAAAAATAGTATGTCTCATAATAACAGAATGCTTCTTCTGAAATCTAAGGCATGTCAATCATAAAGGTGCTGGCAGAGAAGAGAAAGTGGAGATTAGGTGCCCTTGAAAGTTAATTATGGACAAGCAGGCTCTGAGAATAAATTTATCTGGACAAACTGCTCCAAATACACAAAAACAAGTGTTCTTAACCCTTTCCCTTACAATCAGAAAATTTCATTTTATCCTAGTATAGATCATGCATAACTCTCAGACAGTGATTTCTTTCACCACAACCTTGGTGGCAATATATTGCACGGATGGCAAACATCAGCCTTGGTGTGAAGGACAGCCTTTAGATATCTTTCATGATATACATCAAATTAATTTGAAACTATTTTTAAAAAAATAGTGTGTGGACACCTGCTGATCATTTAATAGCTGCTATCTGTATTTTCAAACTTGTGGAGAGTCATTATATGACCATATTGCTTGCATCTTCCTCTATTTCAGACACCAGTCTATAGCAGTCTATGGTCCAAAACAGACTGCAGAAATCATCCAGTTTGAGACCGCTTTAACTGCCCTGGTTCAATACTAGGGAAAACTGTAGTTTTTTTGGAGACATTTAGCCTTTTCTGCCAAACAACTCTGGTGCCACAATAAACCACAATTCCCAGGATTCCCTAGCAGGGCAGTTTAAGTGGTCTCAAACTGGATGATTTCTGCAGTCATTTTGGATCTATATTACTTTATCCTCAACATCCTGTTTTGGTGCATTTTGGAGGTTCTGCCTTAGAGATCATTTAGTAATTGAAAGTGGTATGGAGATTTTCCATTAGGAACATGAACTATGCAATCCTATAGGCATCTGCTTAGAATAAAGCCTCTCTTTTCTAGACTGATAGTAATGGGCCCATGCCCAGCCCAGCCCATGACTGAATTGGGCGAAATGAGGCATGCAATAATCTCCTGGTTCTCACAACCTGAGGTGGGAAGGGAAGCACTGTGTTCATGTAAAACTGGCAGTGGTAGTGGCATGCATTCATGCACACACATAGGCATACACAGAGACTGGAGGTGGGAGAGAAGTACGAAATGTGGTAATGGTGCCATGTTGTTGGAGAAAGAATAAGTGGCAGCTGCCTGCCTGCCTGCTTGTTATCTGCCTGAACAACCAGGAAAAGGTTGCAGAGGAGGAGCTGTGGTTGTGGGCTGGCATAACTCAGCTCCCACCAAAAAGATTGTCTGGGATGAGTAGCTGGCCTCTTAGCCATGATATTTGGGTATGGAGAATGGCTGCATTGAGTCCCAATTTGGGGGAAAGGTGGGCATAATAAAATGATGGATGAACCAACCTTCAATGTCGTGGAGAGGTTAAAGATCCAAACAGCACATGTGTGATGCAACACTTTAGAAAGTATATACATAGCTCAGAGTCAGTACTAAAGGGCCAGCATAGTGTAGTGGTTTGAATGTTGGACTATGGCTCTGGAGACCAGGGTTTCAATCCCTGTTTGGTCATGGGAACCTATTGGGTGACCTTAGGCAAGTCACATTGTCTCAGCCTCAGAGGAAAGCAATGGCAAAGCCAATCTGAAGAAACCTTGCCAAGAAATCCCCATGACTGGGTTTCCTTAGAGTCGTCAGAAATTGAAAATGACTTGAAAGAGCACAAAAAGAAGAATCAGTACCATTATCGAGAGTGGGGTGGCTGTATCAGATAGCTAATGTGAAATAATGAAATAATGGTTCATTATTTAATTTATTTATTGTATTTTTATTGTTAGGGACAGGGAGAGGCACTTGTGTATTTTGCCTGTAGCAGGTACCAAGTAACTTGAATTTCTCTTGGATTACATTGTGACTATTCAGCATGGTTGGAGCTGCCATTTGCTGCCTCAGACAGCAAAATATCTTGGGCAAAGAAACAAAATACATCTACAACTGTAGAATGTTTTAAAATGCCAATACTCCTTTATGCACTTTAGAAACATGTGCAATACCCATACAAAAATGAAATGTAAAAAATTAAATCTGGATCTTGTTTTAGTGTTTGAGTATCTCTAAACCAATTTGTGATACTGCAGAGTTTCAGAAAGAGCAGAGAGTTTTCAAAAATTAATTATGGAAAATTCCTTTTGAACCTGAGTAAGGAAAAGAAGAATTACTTAGGCAGGAATATGACAGTGGCTTTTAACCTGTCAAAGTATTGCAAGGATACACTAACCTTTCTCTGCAAATCCACCCCCCTCCCACTTAAAATTCTAGTCATAACAAACATCCTGTCAAGATAAAAGAACAGGACTGGATGCCATCAAGCAAACACAGGAGAGCATTTTTGCTTTGAGTATTCATTTTAATTGGAACTTAATTTGCCTTTTTGCTGTTTCCATCCAGGAATATTTTAACCACAATTTCTGGCTAGAAGTGCTAGCCAAAATCTTATTTTCTTAAAAAATATATAATTATATTTCAATGTCAAATTTCAAACTCTTAACCATGAAAACTCTTGTAGACAGAGGAAAAGGTGGTTGTTGCTGTTGTTTGCCTTCAAGTTGTTTCTAACTTATGGTGACCCCAAAGTGAACTTATCACAGGGTTTTCTAGGGCTCAGAGTATGTGACTCGCCCAAGGTCATGTACATACATATAAGAAAAGGTAGTATATGTAAAGTTAGGATTGTCCATAACATAGCATTTCTATGTATGGTTGTGAAACATGGACAATGAAGAAAGCTGATAGGAAGAAAATCAGCTTATTGGAGAGGTGGAATTGGGGGAGAGTTCTACTAATACCATGAACCGTGAAAAAGACAAATAAATGGGCCCTAGAGCTAATCAAGCCTGAACTTTCCCTACAAGCCAATAATAGTAAACCAAGACTATGATACTTTGGCCATATCATGAGAAGACAGTAGGAAAAGAGGAAGACCACATTCCAGATGGAAATCAAAGAAGCCATGGCCCTATGTCTGCAAGACCTGAGCAGAGTAATAATAGGATGACTAGGAGGTCTCTCATTCATGAGTCACCTGATGAAGTCAACCTGATGGCAGTTAACAACAACAATAACAACAACAACAAAGTATATATGATCTGTAAAATTGAATGTGCATTGCCTTGCATGTTAATGTGCTCAATAAATATCAAAATTTAGAAACTAGTATATATGCTGGAGGGACAGAAGTAGGAATGTAGTTATGGGGAAGGAGGGACAAAAATGAGGGTATTGTTCTTCCATATTGTAATGCTGCCCCTTAAATGAAACCATTTCCACCTTGTTTTTAATTGCCCTCAAGTTGACCCCAACTCATAGCAACCCTATGGATGATTTATTGACCCTGCCCTCCACTTCTTTGTTTAGTTCCTGCAGACTCAAGCCAATGATCTCCTTGATTGAGTCCATCCAACTGGCATGTGGCCTGCTTCTCTTTCTACTACCTTTTACATTCCCTAGCATTATTGTCTTTTCTGATAAGTCATACTTTGTCATGATGTGGTCAAACTACGACAGCCTCAGTTTCGTCATGTTGGCTTCCTGGGAGCGTTCAGGTTTGATCTGTTGTAGGACCCATTTGTTTGTGTTTTTGGCTGTCCATGGTATCCTCATCACTCTTCTCCAACACCACATCTCAAATGAGTATTTTTATCTTCCCATCACTTTCTCTACTGTCCAGCTCTCACATCCACATATGATGATGGGAAATACAATGGCTTGCACAATTCTAACTTTAATACTCAGTTGTATATCTTTACATTTTAGGATCTTGTCTAGTTTGTTAATGGCTGCTGTTCCCATTCCTAGCCTTTTTCTGATTCCATGACTGCAGTCTCTGTTCTAGTCAATATTTGATCTAAGAAACAGGAAATCTTTGACTATTTCAATTTCCTCATTGTCTAATCTGGATTTATATAGATCCTGATTGGTCATTATTTTTGTTTTCGTTTAGTAGTAAGCTTGCCTTTGCACTTTGTTCTTTAACTTTCCTTAGTAACTGTTCCCAGTCTCTGATAGTTTCCACTAATAGTAGAATCTCTATATTTTAGATTATTGATGTTCCTTTTCCTATCTTCACTCATCCTTCTTCCGAGCCTACATGTGCTCTTTGTATGATATTTTCTGCATAGAAGTTAAATAAATAGGCTCATAGAATGTAGCCTCATCTTACTCCTTTGCCAATTGGGAACCATTCTGTTTTTCCATATTTTGTTCTAACATCTTCACCTAGGACTCTTATATTTGCGGTGTTAGCATTCTGTTATTCATTTTGCCTTCCCTTTTTGACTGAACCATATTTCTAAATGCTCAACTGAAGTTTTAAGTTACTGCAATACCAGAAGGTGGAAAGAAAATTTCATGTGGGAGGAGAATTCTTAGTGGGGGGCAACATCCTCATTTTGCTGCCTACCCATAGCTGGACAAAAGTACTTTACTTGGGATCTCTCATACAATAGCAACTTTGGAAAGAAATGATGGAAGACTCAAACTCTGTATGTTTCTTAAACCTGGAGGCTTCGAAAGGGACACTGACTTTGCCCCACCTTGGAACCATGGAACTTCCATAAATTCCATAAGTTGCAACACTTGAGTTGTGGAGGTGGTCAGGAAACACAACTGGCATTCCCCTAAAGGCCAAAATGGCTCTATCGGTGAGCAAGGATGACAGACATTTCCTTCCATTGATGATCTAGTGTTGCTTCATCACCATTACATAGAGCTGCCCACTTTATAGCACGTCCTGAACACGACCATACAGATCCACTGGCTTGAATCTTATTGGTTAGTCCAACCAGACTAAACCCTTTGAACCAATTAATGAATTGTGAGTCAAAATACAGTCCTACCTCCATTCTTGCGGGGTATCCGTTCAGGATCCCCCTGTGAAAATGGAAAATTGTGTGTATTCAAGTCCCATTGGTTTGAATGGAGGTGCACCCCCGCAGGCACGCACCCCATTTTATCCCCCTCTGTTTGCCCCTTGCACATAAGCAAGGGACGTGGATCTCAAGTCCACGAGAACAGAGGGTTGACTGCATAGCTAAGACCACTGATTCAGTAGATCTACTCTAATTGAGACTAATAAGAGGTTTTAGGCCATTGACTTCAGTAGGGCATTCTAATAATGATGCTTGAATAAAGTATTACCTGTTGAATTTTATAATAAAGAACTGGAGTTGTTTTTCCCATCTTCCCTCCCATTCCCTTTTTGAGATAATATGTTTCGGATTGTATGTCTGAAGGCAGGGATCATCTAATTTCTGATAGTTCTGGGGTGATGAGCAAAATAAAAAAAAATGAGTGGGGAATTGAATCCTGGTCTCCGGAGTTGTAGTCCAATGCTCAAACTACTACCCCACTACATCTCCAGTCATCATCAACCTAAATGGAATTGATTCAATGTTTTCTCTCTTGTCAGGAATAATAATGAGATTTAGGGGGGTTGCAGACTGTCAGAAATAGTGCAAATTCAGTCCACTTTTAGGGTTAGGCTTAGAGCTAGGGAATCATGGGAATTGTTTTTTTTCTGAGACATTGAGCCTTCTCTGTCAGAGAGCTCTAGTGCCACAATAAAATACAGTCCCCATGATTCCCTAACCCTAACCCTAACCCTAACCCTAACCCTAAAAGTGGACTGAATTTGCACTTTTTCTGGCAGTCTGCAACGCCCCTTAGACTGATAAGTCTAAAGCTTGAAAAGTTGCTTTTTGAACTATAGTTCCCAGAATCACCTGTGAGTTGGGCATGCTGTCTGAGGGATTCTGGGAACTGTAATAATAATAATAAAAAGGAATTTTCTCAAGTTCTGTATACAACTCTAATTAGTGAGTGACTTTTACAGACTTTTTACATGTTGCAGGCTGCTAGCTTCCTCTTTGCCCTTTTTATATTCACTGATTCCATATGCCAGCACTTTGACCTAGGTTTACACAAAAAATGAAACTGAAGCTATAACTTCCCGTCAAAGTACAAAGCCTATAGCAATTGATATTGACTCAATGAAGTATTGGAAACAGGTTATGGTAATAGGGCCTTTTCTTTTGCATAGAGTCTCCTGAAAATTGTGTCAGTTCAAAAAATAAAAAAACCAAAAAACCCAACCAAAAACAAGAGCAAGCAGCATGTCAGAGATCAAAATCATTTACAGTCTCTTGCTTATTCTCACAAGCACTGTGATAAAGCCCCCACAGGCCACTGGTCAAAGAGGCACAATATAGGAAATAATTTGCCTGAGGGCATGATGATTCCTATTTTGCTCATCCGCTTAAATCAAGTTCATTTCTCAGGGCAATGCTTTTTGATGATATTTCTACTCCACTGCTCCCCACATTTCTGCCACTGAACAGAGTCCTTATGAAAGTGTGTAATGTGCAAACAGACATTACATCCTACACTGAATGGAGGATGCAGCCATCTCCCAACATTGGTGAAGTGTTTTTTCAACATTCCTATACTCTGCTGAACTACACGGCAGCATCTAAAGCAACCTAATTGAGATGTCACTTCAAACTTCATCCTCCTTC